GGATTTAACCATTAGGTTATCTCTCAGGACCCTAATGCACATTTTAGATTCGAACCTCACTGTTGTCACTTTACTTCATAAATAATAAAATGCAGCATGCTGAATTTTCTCTTTTATGAATCAGGCTATAATAATGATTTTTAGAATAATACTTGTCATCAGGTTGATTCCTTGCTTGGCCTTTACTGGCAGGCCTAGTAACCCATTTTGTATACTTCAGAGAAGTGAATAAAGATTAAAACACACCACTTGCTAGTCACGCAGGTTCATTTAGTAGAGCAGTACGTAAGAAAGACAGCAGTGCAAAAAAAGACAAGGAGAGCAAGTAAACCACCACGTAGAATGTCTCATTGTTTGTATAAACATTCCTGGTACAGAATGCAAAGTACAGTCCACTGGATAGTTCAGGTCAGGGACAAATGATGAAAGAACAGCACGGAGAAGATGCACTATACTCTCTGGAGAGTCTTTTAGTGGTATGCATTCAAAATTAGCACCCTTCGCACAAATTGTCAATTTGAACAAAGATGATTTTTAGAACATGGATTTTTGGACTTCATATATGGATTTATATACATTTCACTGCTTTAAAATTTCTGAAACTTGAGATTTCTCAACAACACCATGTCTTATTTTGAATGCAATCCACATCTGCTTTATTTTCTCTCCTGTTGTCTACTGCATTTCAGCAATCTCATTTCCTCAGTCCATTGACATATGTTGATAGTTGGTAGCAAACTCCATCTCAGAAATGTCAAACTTAATGAGTAAGGCAAAATCGCAAAAAAGCAAGGTTATCCAGTCAGCTGTCTGCATTTCCAGGTGCTGAGTATTCTGATCCATCTGCCTGGCTGAAATCAGGCAGGCTCATTGGTGCTTGCTCCCAGGGCATAAGTGCCCCTGAGTGCCAGTGCCTTTAGAGGAATATTTCTAAGAAACGTTGTAGTGTCAACATATTGTACTCCCACCAAAGAAAACAAATCATGATGAAAGAATGGTGAATAAATCCAATTTCCTAAATGCTTAATTTGTAACAAATCTGAACCTCGGTTGAACATCTTTTGACAAATAAAAGCCAAGTAGTTCAAAACAATACTATGGCATTTACACTTTCTGTATCAAAACAGCAATAGAGATGAACAATGGTAGCACGTATTAGGAAAATAGCATCTTGCTCACCAGGAAATGAGGAGATGCATATGATCTTGTAATAACTCTTATTTTTTATGCCGAGGACACTGCATCTAGCTCATGATTGGATTCCAAGCATGTTACTTTAGACATTAACTTGAGGACTGAGCAATATACATATCAGACAAAAGAATATCCCTTTGGCTGAAGACTGCCTAGTCAGTTATATCGACACTACAACTTTCTTATCATTAGTGTTTCAGGATAAATCTTCATTCCATATTTGTGCATTTAAATGTCTTTATGCCTTAAGATAACTAAAAAAATATTGTGAATTTTCATTTGTTACTGTTTTTGGCTTTCAACTAGTGTTTTTTTTAAACACAGCAAATATAATTGTTGTTACATACATGTAGTTTGAAACAAATGTCAATTTGCAATTTGTTTTGTTTTATGTGTATTGGCTCCTAATTCCATTTTTAGTTTTCTTTATGCTATGTAATTTTTTTTTTATTTTCTATAATTGGTAAAGAGGGAGCCAGCTTTTATGATAAAATCTAATGTTCAAACTTTAACAGGATTGAACCCAGTATGGTAGCCTAACAACTAAAGTCCTTGCCTTGCACTCCTGGGATCCAAGTTGGCACAGGTTCTAATCCTGGCAGCCTGCTTCCCATCCAGCTCCCTGCCTGTGGCCTGGGAAAGCAGTCAAGGACAACCCAAAGCCTTGGAACCCTGCACTCACATGGGAGATCCGGAAGAGGTTCCTGGCCCCTGGTTTCTGAACAGCTTAGCTCTGACCATTGCAGCCACTTGGGGAATGAATCAGCAGACGGAAGATCTTCTCTGTCTCTCCTCCTCTCTGCATATCTGACTTTCTAATAAAAAATAAATGTTTAAAAATATGATGGTTAGAATCTCTGTACCCTAGCAAAATGTTCCTTTTTTAAAATTTTTTTTTATTATTAATTATGTTGCATTATGTGACAGTTTTATAGGCTCTGGGATTCCCCCATTCCCTCCCTGTGCCCTCCCCCATGGTGGAGTCCTCTACCTTGTTGCAGTATTACAGTTCAGATTAAGTCAAGATCCTTTCATTGCAAACATATACCAAGCATAGCGTCCAGCATCTTATTGTCTAGATAAATTCAGCAGTTTCTTGGGGAAACATTCTCTGGTCTGAAGTTAAAGCTGGCAAAATATCATCCTGATCAATTAGAAGCCCCAGCACAACATCAACAACTATTTACAACATTATGGAATTAATGGACATGTTCCTTTTAAAACATAAAATAATGGGCCCATTGCAGTGGCTCAATTGCTAATCCTCTGCCTTCAAGCTCTGGGATCCAATATAGGTGCTTGCTCTTGCCCTGACTGCTCCACTTCACATCCAGATACCTGCTTGTGGCTTGGGGAAGCCGTAGAGGAAGGCCCAAAGCATAGGATCACTACACCAATAATGGGAGACCCAGGAGATACATCTGGTTTCTGGTTTGGAACTGCTCAGTTCTGGCCATTGTAGCTATTTGGAAAGTGAACCAGCAAATGGAAGATATTTCTGTAAATCTTCCTACCCAATAAAAATAAATATTTAAATAAACATTTAAATGTGTATAGGTGTACGTATGTACGAACACACATACACACATATATATGTATATATAAATGTGTATATACAGAGAGATGTATATTTGCATGTTTTGTTGTTATTTAGGATTAATATACGTAAAGTCTTGCATCTTCTCTACTTTAGCTCTTTGAAAAAGCACAACCCTTCAGGCTCCTTGTCTTACTTTTGAATACGAACTGGGCATTAGACAAAGCTCCCAGTGGAACACAAATCCCATTTCCAGAATTCTCCTTGAGTCAGAAAGTCCCTTTGGAAAAAAAAGATCCTGTCTTCTCAAAACTATCTTTCACCAAATGAAAGGTCAACCTCCATCTCTAAATTTTTATCGTGAAGAGCATGGAGATGGTACCTGGGGCTTCAGCTTATCACTAGAATGGAAGGAGGGGGCTGCCAGGCATGCCGTTCTGATCCCCTCCCCCCTTTTATTTTCTGAGCAAGCTGCACAGGGTTAAAATTTCAACCAGTTATTGTGAACAGCTGTTCTAATTTTTGTTGTTTGTCTGTTTGTTCTCTCTCAAAATCATACTTAAAAGATACTACTTCCACCATTTTCATGGGTGTTTTTCTCATGAAAACCCCCCTCCTGTTGATGTGGGATTCCATCATTAATATCTTTCATAAACCTTGCTTTTCTTACTAAAATGTTCCATATGGAAGCTCTTTTGTGTAAGACCAGAATCAAGCTTTATTGTCATGAAATTCTCTGTAACAGTAGTGCTGTTATTATCATTCACATGATATTAAGAATGCTTTGAAGGCCCAGCATGGTAGCCTAGCAGCTAAAGTCCTCACCTTGAATGCACCAGGAACCCATATGGGCACCAGTTCTAATCCCAGCAGCCTTGCTTCCCATCCAGCTCCCTGCTTGTGGCCTGGGAAAGCAGTCAAGGACGGCCTAAAGCTTTGGGACTCTGCACCTGCAGGGGAAACCCAGAAGAGACTTCAGGCTCCTGGCTTCAGGTTGGCTCAGCTCCAGCCATTGCTGCCACTTGGGGAGTGAACCATCAGACAGAACATCTTCCTCTCTTTCTCTCCTCTTTTCTATATCTCTGACTATGCAATGACAATAAATAAATCTTTAAAAAATGCTTTGCAGTTTTGAGTACAGAATAGAACAGCACGAGCAGATTATTTGAATAAAGGATTATAAACACTAATAAAGGAGATGTGTGGTGAGGTTACCCTAATCTTTAAATGTGTCTCAGATCTAATATCCATCTTGGTATTTGCCAACAATAAATGCCATTTCCTAAATTTGAAATTCGACACAATGCATGAACTGATTATATATTAACATTTTAATGTCATTGCAATTGCTCATTGCTGAGCTACTGAAAAGCAAGATAAAAGAAAATTCTCTGTTTTTAAAAACAATTTTAAGTATTAATGAGAACAATGAGTTTAAAAGTTTATTTCAATTTTTTCTTACATTTAGTTAATATGAAGGTATGTCAAAAAGTTCATAAAATGTATTGTGAAAAAAGCTATTGATTGAATTTCAAAATGTTTTCTGCACCAAAATAATCACATTTTAATATAATGTCCATGAACTATTTAGAATACTCTCTGATATTCATGAAAATAATTCTGTAAGTGGCCCATTATAAGGGTTAAAATATTTAATATTTTTAAAACCTAGTATATAAAGTTTTTGATGTGTTTAAAATAATAACTGCCTCTCCATAATAACTGCCTGTGAAATTGTCCTACAAGCTCATTTTTATATAACTGGCGTGTGTTTAAATGGATGACTGATTTTTTAAGCTGTGAATCCAAATTATGTGTTTTCTTTGAATCACTTGGATATGAAAAGCAATTAAATAATTTGCTCATCTGCTAACTGCCTTGAATAAATTTGATCATTGAAGCTCAATTTTACATTGATTGGTCAGCACATTAATTCATTTGCTTTCCGTATCATTTCAAGTCTTCCTGTTCAAACACTTAAACCTTTTAAAACAACAGCAACTGTAGCAAAAGCTCTGCCTTCTCAGGGGTTTGGCAGCATCCTCTTGCCCTTGATTGCTTCATTTCAGCTCATTAAAAATGAAATTGACACACTTTATTCATGCTTTATGTGTACCATTATTGTCTGAGTAGCCTGAAATTATATTTCCACTTTTTTTTAAGCAGTCATTTTTATTATATTGTCTGCATTTTATTTTTCTTTTCATTGTGATTTTCTCACTCTCCCCCAAGGATTGCTCACCCAAACCCATCTCCTTGCTCTGTGCAGGATTTGTAGGCGACTACTGTGAAACTGACGTGAATGAGTGCCTCTCCCATCCCTGCCTGAATGATGGTCACTGCAAAGATGGAGTCAATCAATTCAGGTAGAAAAGGAAACTCTAGATGAATATTTACATACTTCGTTGTGTGTTTAGGATTTCAGTTGACAGCTAAACATCTTTTAGGAATGTGAAAAGTTGGAGTTCTACATTAACTAAAGCTTTGGTTTTATGCCTTTACATTAATGAAGTTTAAATTTTTCTATTAAAGGTGTGATTGCAGGCCTGGATTTTCTGGACATCAATGTGAAATTGAAATTAATGAATGTTCCTCTAGGCCTTGCAAAAATAATGGAACATGTGTGGATCTAGAAAACAGGCAAGTGACTGAATTTATGAAATGAATTATTGCATATGTGTGATTTAGTAAAGTGACCACATGTGTCCATTGTGTAACTTAGGAAGCTGCAAATTACTAGTACTTTGCCACTTATCCCAGGCCCATTCTCATACCCATAACCAAATTTTATCAGGTAATTTGAATTTATATCTGCCACCAATACTTTTGATTTACTAGAGTAAATATTTGTGTATATGCCTGATCTAAACCCATTTAGGCTTTCAAATCTATATAAATTAAATATAATGTATAGTGCTCTGAAAGTTATTTTATCGAATATAAGTTTTCTGTAAAACCTATTTAAATGTTTCTCATCTTTAACTTTTAAAGAATATTTCATCTTTAAATATTTTTTTCATTATGCTTAACATAAGTATCTGGGTTATTTGTCTCTGATCTAAATAACCAAATATTAGAATTTTAAAATATTTTTCAAATATGCAAGTATTAGTGTTACTTTGCATGAATAGATTATTGGAATGTTGGGTAGGCATTTTCATAATTACCAAATGATGTTTACTTCTTTCATTTTATCTTTAAAAATACAATATTTTCCCTTTCAAGAATGAATATTCTTATTTGCATTGTCCAAAAATTCATCTCTGCTTATATGTTGCATGTAAATTTTATTTCGTTGTAGTTTTACCAATTATTCCCTTTGATAATATGACCCTGAGAAGATTTTTGCTTTATTTTTTTTTTAAGATTTATTTATTGTCATTGCATAGTCAGAGATATAGAAAAGAGGAGAGAGAGAGAGGAAGATGTTCTGTCTGATGGTTCACTCCCCAAGTGGCAGCAATGGCTGGAGCTGAGCCAACCTGAATCCAGGAGCCTGAAGTCTCTTCTGGGTTTCCCCTGCAGGTGCAGAGTCCCAAAGCTTTAGGCCGTCCTTGACTGCTTTCCCAGGCCACAAGCAGGGAGCTGGATGGGAAGCAGGGCCACTGGGATTAGAACTGGTGCCCATATGGGATCCCAGCACGTTATAGGCGAGGACTTTAACCACCACACTATTGCGCTGGGCCCTACTGTTCATGCCATCCTACCCATGAATATTCTGTTCTGATTTATACAAACTAACATTAGCATCACTAAAGAATATGTTAGTTGTATATATTAAATGACCTTTCCTGATTGAAATAATATTTTCCTTTGTGAGTACTAAAAATGAAGTTTAATATATTTAAATCGAATGTTTTGTATATTCTTTGCATTTTTACTTTCTTTAGCAATAATTTATTCTTCTAAGGGTAAAGTATTTTATTGAAAATTGTTGTGGAGTATTTGAGGTCCTGCCTTTTACTGTATATCTTCATGCACCAAGAATTGTGTGTGTTTAAAATTGTGTGTAATTAGGAATGATAGAAGAAATGTTGCAGTCTAAGCTAATTTGCTCCATATAAATTAGCCACCATGTCTGCTATATGGATTGATGCAATGCATCATTTGTGGTACTTGAATATCACATTTCAAAATATCTATAGTCTTGCTTTCTTCTTTTTTTGAATTTATAAAATCAAACATTATTATACTAATATAGGTTTTAATTAAGTAGCAATGAAGAAGTATCTCAATACTACTATAGCAAGGCATCTCATCTATTCTATATATTTTTTTAAAGCTTTGGCTATTTTTCACAGTTTCTTCTGTCACAATCAACTTTTATTATTTATCCATACCTATCTATCTGTCCATTCACCTATATATAATCCAAATAAGTAAGCAAAGTAAAATCTGATAAAATTTTATTGAAATAAAACATAGATCAAATTTGAAAAGGAAGGTTATTTAATCAGTTCTGTTAGTACAGTATTTTTAGAAACAATTGAATAAATTCAGCTGAGCATTCACAGATAAATTCACCAAAGAAATAATTATCTAGATCACATTGGACTTAAGTGCCAGTGAATATGTTTAATTGTCTTAGCAAACAACACTTAACATTATCAAAAGTTCTGTTAAGCCTGGGATAATTTTCTAATTACCTTCCATTATTTCTACAAGTTTCTATGGCCTATCTAGCTTTCACGTTTTCCAACTGGATGAAAAAAAAATACAGTATTTGAACCTTTCCAGCCTTCCAGGAGAACATCAAGAACTTCAAGTCCCATTGAGTCACTAAATTGCTTTCGCCTTAAGATCTGGATGGATCTAAAGGGATAGTACAAGATCTACCAATTGGGCTTCCCTCTATAATCACTCTTATTTAATAGTGGACATTATTTCTGCAACTAATATACCAGCTACAGTAGGTATCGGTGATTGGTGACAAGGATGGTTCTGTAGCAGTATGACTTAGCCTAAAGAAACTTGTACTCTTACTTGGAAACAATAGTGTTTGAGACATAAGCCTAAATTCAGAAACAGTACTCAGTAGGTTCTGAAAGATCTGAAATTCCATGTTCACTATTTAGCAGTCTTATTAGTAAATGTCTGTTGTCAGGGAATATCTGTGACTATATGAATTAATTTTCTTCAAAGGGGAAGTCAGGGCACCAAGTTTCTGACATTCATAACTTAGATCTGAGAATTGTTTAGTTGACTGTGGATACAATACAAAATCAAATGGAATATCATTTTTTCCTGCAGACTTATATTTTTCATTTTGTATATTTAAAGTAACATTATAAAGAACCATGCACATATTTAGTTTCTAGGCTCTGTTTGTCAGTTAGCCACTTCCATGGGAAACCATCATCAGTTTGCCATCACTCTGGGTGTCTGTAAATCCAGTCTGTCCTTTCCATTCTTGTTTTTTTTTAAGATTTGTTTATTTTTATTGCAAAGTCAGATATACGGAGAGGAGGAGAGAAAGAGAGGAAGACTTTCTGTGGGACAATTCACTCCCCAAGCAGCCACAGAAGCTGGAACAGAGCCAATCTGAAGCCAGGAGCCTGAAGTCTCTTCCAGGTCTCCCCTGTGGGAGCAGGATCCCAAAGCTTTAGGCCATCCTTGACTGCTTTCCCAGGGGCTGCTGGGATTAGAACTGGTGCCCATATGGGATCCTGGTGCATTCAAGGTGTGGACTTTAGCCCCTATGTCATGGTGCCGAGCCCTGTCCTCTCCATTCTATTTCAGTTATTTATGAGTTATTTTGGTCATTTTGTATCTGATAAGCAAGCAACACATACAGGCTTTATCCTTTTCTTTGGATTGCACAATTTTAATTATCATCAAGAGATGGAATTTAAGAACAACACCAAATACTGTCACTTCAATTTATGAAAGACAGTGAGCACAGAATTAAGACCAGTGCTCCATTTAGTACAAATCATTGACACATAAAACATGCTATTAAAATGCCAATTATGACATACAATTACCATGTTCACTTGCATGTTTAATGTGTTTTACTTTCTCATATGATTATTTACATTGAAGCTTCTAACAAAATCTTAATGACATCATTCAAAGATGAGTTTGCAGGGATGTGACAGCACTAGATATTAGCATCTAGCTATCTACAAAGTCACTGCAAGAGGGGACACTGCAACTGACATTTTCAGATAATAGATGATATTGGTTATTCAGTGCTACTATCAAAGTAAAAACATTTTCAACTTTTAAACACAAACCTGGTAACATGACTAGTATTACATTATCCCTGATTACAGTCAACCCTCTAACCACAGGAAGAATTCTTGGGATATGTAGTTCCTTTACACCACCATGATTTTACCCATGCAATTTTAATACCTTCTGTCCAACTGATTTAAAGATCCCTACTGTATGTATGACAGCCAGTAAAACCTTTTCTGTCATATTCTCTTGCAGTAAATACACCTGTCTCTGCTGACAAGCACTTACTCTAACATTCATACATCTGTATTCTTACCTGACTCTGAGACTTCCAAGGCAAGCCAAAATTTATTACACTTAGATCTATGTATATGGCTGAACTCTACACTCAATAAACTACCATACATTGAATTTAAAAAGAAGAATGCACAAATATTAACTTCTGCTGTTTAGAAAATAATGACTGCAGTTACAGGAGGAATCCTTTCAGATAATCAGAATGCTAAAACCTTGGTTAAAAGTACATAGAAATGTATAGGAAATCTTGGGGAAAATTTCGTTATGTGGAAAAATCTTCATAGAACTCTTTTGCTGAATCTACTCTCCTAATGATTAAATTTTTACTCATGGGAATTACTCTACATTTGAATTGATATATTTAAGAAGTGTAATAGGTAAATTCAGATGGATAAAATTGTTGCCTTTTTTTCTTAGAACTTTTTATCATGAATTATAATAAAAATAATAAAGGACAGTATAGAATATAAATGAGGCATTTGGGAACTTAAGGAGGTTGTAAGTGAATGCTTTTTGAGAGCTATCAAATTCTGTTGATATTAATTTAATCACACATCAAGAGTGTGACTTTTTAACTTGATCTTTACCATTGATTTCTCCAGTAATTTTCATAATGGCTACGTATTAACATAGTTGTGTCCATTAAATATAATTTTTTAAAAACATGGTTAAGTAGGCAAATTTAAATATCAGAAAAGTAAATTTAATACAAAAAGTAGTCATCAATACACTGCAAATTGATTTATAATAATGCAGTTGTTAAGAGAATACCTTTGCAAGACTAAGCTCATTTGGGGCCAGCACATTGACTTAACTCGCTAATCCTCTACCTCCAAGCACTTCTTCCCACATTGGTGTTGGTTTGTGTCTCAGTTGCTCTGCCTCCCATCCAGCTCCCTGCTTGTGGCCTAGAAAAGCAGGAGAGGGTAGAACAAAGCCTTGAAACCCTGAACTTGCCGGGAAATCTACAGGAAGCTCATGGCTCCTGGCCTTGAATCAACTCAGGCGCAACCATTGCAGCCATTCTGGGGAGTGAACAGTGGATGGAAGATCTTTCTGTCCTTCTCTCTACAAATCTTCCTTTCTGATGAAAATAAATAAATCTTAAAATATTACATTTTGTCAAATATAATAATTTTCCCAAGCATATACTTCTTAAAGCATTTAAAAAAAAAAAACATTTGAGTTGAAAAAAGATCTTGATTGACTGTATTTTTTTGCGAAAAAAATGGATCTACTCTAATTTAAAATAAACTAAAAACTATTAAATTTCATTGAAATGAATTTTATGTGTAACAGATTCTTTTGGTGTTAGGTAATTCTTGCTTTATATTTTCCTATTTCCTTACAGATTTTTATGTAATTGTCAGTCTGGATACCATGGGTCGCTCTGTGAACTGATTGGGAATGAATGTAAAACTCCATTTTGTCTAGACACCGAAAACTGTGTCAGCAAGCCTGATGATCACAAATGCCTCTGTGTCCCTGGTTACACAGGTAAGCGACTGGTTATCCCACCATGGTCAGCAGACATGTTGTATCAGCACATGAATGACAACCTCACACTGGTATTCTAGAAGCTGAAATAAATTGTCATGTTTCACATATATTTATAATAAACCCCTATTTTACAAATGTAGCAGTAAGCCATGCTACTTTTAAACAAGAAGAAAGTTATACTAATTACACATAAAAAACAATTTATATTTTGTTTTTAAAAATTGTATTTATCTGAATATATTCGTATGAATATTCAAAGTATTGACATGTAGAATCTAATATATGTAACACTGCTACATTTATTACATAAATGTCATTTTTATATATATATAACTATTTACACACTTCATTAAATATACTTATGTACTAGAAATTATATGCCAGACCTTAGTAATTTCAATTTCAAGCAGAAATCATGATATGCAGTTCACAATTTTAAGAAAAATTATATCACAACAATAGTTCCATCCAAACTTACAGGCAAAATTCATATAGAAATTATAAATAGTAGATTAAGCATTTGATGAAAAATGCATTTAGGAAATATGGAAATCTATTATTTTAATTTACCAGCATTTGTCATGTAGCCATATAAGAATTTGTACAAATCTAAAATCTTAATTTATCACCAGAGTTTTAAAAAGAATGTCATATCAGGTTGTCTGTTAGCAGGGGTACAAATTGCTTGAAAACTGGAAATGAGGGTGGCAAGAAAATCAGAAATAGCTACAAGCATATCCAGAGAATAAGTGAAAAAGAGTCAAGAGGTATTAGAGTGACCTGAACAAAGGCCCTGAACATTTTCCTAGGGAATCTTGTTAGCTTCAGAGGAGGTTGCCTTGGTAACAATTGTTACATGTACAATAGCTCCTGTTTAAAATAATTTGAAGAAAACATTATTAGTTATACATTTTTAATAGTACAAAGCATTACATTTAAACTAGAAAGCAGTGTGCTTTGTATGTTCCATAGTTCCTATTATTTTCCAAATTATTATGTTTTCTATTTTAGACAATAGTTATCTAATAAACACTGCCAATCACTACAGTGTTATTGTTGTTATTACTATTTCTGTTAAAATGTAAAATAACAGACCTGAGATCAGTAGGACTGAGCAGCACATGGAAAAAAAACTAGTTGATATGCTACTGATATTTGGATTTTCTGAATGAAGGATTGATACTTTGTTCTTACAACCTAGTTTCCTTACAATGAAATGTAATGAATTCATTGTTTCATTTTAGGATATAATGAAAATCATTGTATCTTAGCAATGGATAAGATAGGAGCAGTGACAAATTTAATTTGTGTGTGTGTATCTATGTAATGATTCAACTACAAGTGAGATTTGACTGTAACTTTTTTTTTTAAACAAAGGACTTACTTATTTGCAAGTTAGTGCTATAGATAGTCAAATACTGAAAGATCTTCTGTCTCCTGGTTCACTTCCTAGACAGCTGCAATGGCCAAAGCTTAGTCATGTGGAAGTCTGGATGCTTTGGCTTCATCCTGGTTCCCCCTGTGAGTTGCAGAGAGACAGTACCCCAAGCGGTTAGCCAGTCCTTTGCAGATGTTTCCAAGCTGCTAGCATTCCTGCTGGGTTAGTACTGGAGTAGCCAGAATCCATCTCCAAGCACATGGTGTCACAGACTGTGGATTTATGTAGCACATTACAATACCAGCATACACACACACACACCCCTCCCACACCCCACTCTCCCACCCCCTACCACACCCCACACCCCCACTCTCACACCCCCTCCCACACCCCTACTCTCCCACCCCTTCCCACACCCCTACCCCCTCCCACACCCTACTCTCCCACCCCCTCCCACACCCCCACTCTCCCACACCCCACTCTCCCACCCCCTCCCACACCCCCACACCCCCACCCCTCCCACACCCCACTCTTCCACCCCCTCCCACACCCCCACTCTCCCACCCCCTACTCTCCCACCCCTCCCACCCCCCCACACCCCCACCCCCTCCCACACCCCCACTCTCCCACCCCCCCAAGATGCTGTAGGTAAACATTACTGCTGCAGGTTCAGCTGATCAACATCGCACCAGATTGGACTGTGCTTTTTATTTTAGGCTTTAATTCATGTTTTCAGAATTGCCACTGTGCTTCTAGTGAATATAATACACTGAAGCCAGGAAAAGAGATGAGTGATGTCATTGTCAGTAATATTCAACTTCTTCTATCAGGAATAACATAAAAATACTGAAAACAACTTTGGTTTAAATCTTATTGACCAGGACTGTTTCACATGGCTACGGTAGCTGCCCTGAAAAGAGTGCAGTGCAAGAGAGCAAGAAATACTGGAAATACTTTAATTAAGAAGCGGTTACAGTTTGATTTCACAGTGAGAGCAATCTATGACTATACACTCAAAGAAAGGTCATTTCCCTCAAGAGAGTCATGCACATTTGTTTCCTCTACATGTTCTTTTGACATCCAAATTGACCTTCTGTTTCATGTATGAACACTGGAAGCTTTTCCTGATTTTCACAAATGAGCAGAATTTATTTAGAGTTAGCCTCCTCTGAAAATATTTCTTCAACACGCCTAAAGCTCTGCAGATATTTAAAAAATTATTCTTAAAGTTATTCATTTCTCTTCTATTCTCTTTCCAGGGAATCCTAAAACTGTAAAATTTTATTTGAAGTATTTTAAATTTTTAGCACACAAAGATCTTCAAACTTTTGCATGTTTTCTAAAGGTCATATATTCAGTAACCATCATTTTAATGTATATATATACACACATATATATAGTTTCATCAGTTGCATATTTCTTACCAAATGCATTTGATACACACACACACACATATTTCTGGTCTAGTTTTATTTCTACTCTTATTGTATTCTAGCATAAAAATTAAAATTTGAGTGGAATGGTGTTAGTGCTATAGAAACTATAGGAAGGAGCATGATACACAGAACTAGTCTTTCTCTCCACAACCTTTCCAGCAATTGCTGTTTTTTCGTACTTTAGGTATTAGCCCCCCTGACTGGAGTGAGCTATTCCCTCATTGCTGGCTTCATTTTCTCCTATGATTAGCAACCCTGAGCATTTTTCATATGTCTATTGGCCACCTTCATTTCTTCCTCTAAAGATTTTCAATTCATCTGCTCTGCTCATTTCTTAAATTAATTTATCTTGTTGATCTGTTTCATGGGCACCTTTCACATTTCAGACATTAATTCATCATTTAAGTCATAGTTTAGAGATGTTTTCAAATTTTGTCATGAAATCTTTTCTGAAGTAGATACAAGTATATAGTACTAAAATGGAAAAGCATTTTATGCATTTGTACTTAAGAACTGCAAATAAAATTGCATGTAGTAATGTCTATATTACTATTAATAATAATATTTATATATCTAATGAAAAGTATAAATATAAACATAAACTGCATATGAAATAATAGCTGATGACAATACAAGATGGAGAAAATAGATGCTCAAATACACAATCAAAAATGGATTATAGTTTCATCTGACAGTTGCATATTTCTTACCAAATGTTTCATAAACACATGCATATATAAGACTCTAAGTAATTGCAGTCCTTTCTATATTTTACATGGACTCATCTATTAAGAATATTTTTTCATAGAGCTAAAAAAATGCAAGAATTTTTTTTTAAATCTTGCAATTAATTGTGTAAGGTAGACTTACTTTGGCAGACCTTATATGGATAATTGATCCAGTGTATATTTTTCCCTTTGATGATAAAGAAATAATTTATATGTTGTAACTTAACATGTTGTTTCTTCTGGCAGAAATAGCCTACTTCCACTACTTCGCCAGTACTGGTGTTCATATCCTACACTGAAGGTTACCTACTGTAGAATGCTTTCTTAGAATCCTTAAATTCTGATTTTTTTCCTTCCATTTATTTTCATCATTGTTTGTAGCATAGTTTTATAAAATTGTTTTAATTATCAACAAGTGAGGGGATACACAATCTCTGTCTTGGTACTGTTCAACCTCATAATTTTACATTTTTGATATGTGATAATTAAATACTAAGGCTTATTCTTTTTGTTTCGCTGGTTACTCTAAATATGGTCGCAAAAATGAAACAGCTTAACTCATGTGGAATTTTATTATATCTGTCAATGGTAATCACTTTTGTTTATAAAGAGTAGCAGTACTACTGGCGTGGCATTTTGTATTTCTTATTATTATAGGCAAAAAGGCAATTACATTGCACCAAAGCACTTTTCTTTATGTGACAAGATTCAAACCTGACAACTCGGATGCACAAAAAGATGGTGTTTTTCTAATAATGAGCTCAATATATGTGTGATTCCAATTTCATCTGTTAGGAAGAAATGTTGATCTGATTTTTTTAAGATCAAACGCGGTTACTCTAGATTTAATCAAAGTTCCCTATATTGTTGATATCAGAGACTCTTTACCTTTTTTATGTTCAATTTTGATACAATGCGGGACACATTATCTCCAATATTTGCATGCCAAAAAGAGGAATTAAATTCCTTGGTGCCTATGATTGCTTCTAAGGGCTTCACTTAGTAGATCCAGGAAGGCTAATGTAAAATCAACTATCTTGTCATCACTTCATGCTTATGGCATTGTTGCATTTATTTTTCATTAAAGACTGTCTTTTTAATTTTTAATAAGGATTCATTTACCTATTTCTTTATGAGAAAGAGAGAAAAATGTAACATTTACTCCCTAAATGGCCACAACAGTAAAGTTCAGCATAAACTGAAGCAGGACTCCAAGGACTGCCTCGTGATCTCTCACATGGGTGTTAGGGTCCCTCGTGCTTGAGCCATCATCCATTTCTTCTCCAGGCACATTAGTAGAAAACTGGATTAGAGTTAGAATAGCCAAGTCTCACACTAATGCTCAGATATGGAGAGACATATGACAAGTTGTAGTTTAATCTACTGAGCCACAGTGGCATGTTCAAAGGCTGATTCTTGGGTGTTAAAATTGTACTTTGAAGAATGGTGTTCGAA